ATCCTGTGCTGCTGAGCGACAGCCTAGAGATGGGCTCTGCTCTCAGAACCCCACCAGCACACCCTGCAGAAGACGAGTTCCTCCCACGCTGCTGCTGCCTACGTGAGGCAGAGCTGACATTCAGGAAAGGTCCTTTGTGACAGAGCCCTGGAGCAGGGACTGGGCTCCTCCCCAGCCAGGAGTGCTCTGTGGTACCATGTTCACACACTCGTTTGAAAGACTGTCTTCTAAGTGGCCCCACCAGAAGCGTGAGCAGCTCTTAGGTCACCAGGATTTTTGTTTTGATAATTCCCTCCTTCTGCAAAATGGATCCAGGTGGGAAAATAAAAAATCCCATTGTAGTATTCCTGCTTCTGTGCAGGTGTGATTTCAGGAGAGGGAGCCTAGTGCAACAACACAGGTAAAGCTTTCATGGACATCCCTGGATCTTGGTACAGCTTTGCACTCCCACCCTACAAGTAAAAGCATTCCTTAGGATTTATTCCAAACTTTTGACAGAGCAGCACAAAGCCCCAGGTCGCTTCACTAAGCAGCTACACCACAAGTTGTGCCAGCACAGATGACAGGATGGATTTGTGATTGAGCAGAAAAGACAACCCAAGGCAGCAGGAAGGCCCAACTTTGATGCTGCCACTGAAGACTCAGGAAGTGGCACCCAGAGGTTCCTAAACTCCTAGTACTTCATCAACATAATTTTCCTTCCATTTTTTCCTTTGCATTTTACTGTCTGGCTCCATCAAAGATCTTAATTGCTAAACTAGGGATTATTTTGCTTCACCTCAGGAGATGTGCAGTAAAAGGCCCATCAGGACACAGCACACGTTGACTCACCAGGACAGTGGTTTAGCCTCGGTACTGAGAAGTCTGAGCCCTCCAAAGAAGGTGCAGCCTAATTTAGTCTCAAAGTCTGCAGCTTAATTGCAATATAAACTCTATCCCCAGTTTTAAAGACAACTGAGTTATAAACTACAATACACACAGGCAGTGCAGGAAGCATTCTAGGCTTGTCTTGAGACTGTAATAAAAAACATGTCTTTTCTATAATTGACATATGTAGCAGATTAAGATAAGGAGCTTTAAATATCTGATATCCACAGGAACTTACTTCTGGCATGCTTTCCATGAAGTCAGCCTTTAAAGACCACAGGTGTGCTGTAGTTTTCACCAACAAGGGTCAAAAATACTGAAGAAAATTCTTTTCTTTGCCAGTAAACCATGATTTAAAGGGTATTTAACCCTCTGCAGCACATCTGAGTGTTCAGTGAAGCTGATTCTTGAGCTACCTGGCTCAGACCTTCGCTGATCCTCACCATGTGTTCTTTGATTAGATACACTCTTGTAACAATATGTTAATTGCAATTAGCATAATACAGTCATTGTTCTGGAACAATTTATCCAGTGGCCTGAGGTGATCTCCCTCCATGCCAACAACAAGCCCACTGGCTCAGGAAGAACTTCTGCTTACCTCTGCTACCGACAGCCAGCGATGGCCCAAACAGCATCCCCTGAACTCTGCAAATTTAAACAGATCAGGGACCTACACACCTTTCTTCACTAAATAGCTTTGAACTTCAGGGCCACCTAACACCAAATCACCCTGTCAGCACCCCTCTGAGGACGCAGGCGAAGCAAGGTTGACCCTGGAGAGATTTCCTTCCTGCTTCTCATCTCCTTAAAACCAGAAGAAAAACCAAACCCACCACATTTCCACAACGTCTTCCAGAGAAAGCCACACCCAGCACTGGGACTGTCACAGCTCTGAAACCCTCTCGAGCTCTTCCTTTGGGGTCCTGTCTCTATTATTTGCGTTGTAAACTGAAAAATTCTTTTTATTTTGGTAAGACTCTGAAATATGGCTTCACAAGAATCACTGTTTAGCTTCCTCAGCTGAGATGAGATAGGATGATCAACTTTGACATGTAAAATTAGCATGATTAAATACCTAAATACTACTGATGAGCCTGGCTGTTCTAGAATACACACTGCAGAAGAGCGAGTAGCACCGAGAAGCATTTTTAACCTCATCTGAATGTAAAACATGCAAGTTAACACAGAGTGATTTACTAAGGCAGAAACTGAACAAGAAATTTTAGCTGATGCAATCTTCCCCTCGGTGATTCTGCTGTAAGAGATAATTTGCTATTGGCAGCACGAGCAATGAGCGATGGCTGCACCTCGCTACACCACGCACAAGCTTATTAAAAAAACAAGGAAGTATAATAATATATTTCTATTACAAATTCATGCTTATTATCCAGGTTCCTCTTCTCCTAACCCTCTTCAGGACGCCCTTCAATTCTACAGTTTTTATCTCAGACAAAAGATGGCAACTGGATTCTGGATATCCGTGTCTTAGAAGAGTTCTAATTAATCTCAACAACGGTATTTCTAGAGTCCAAATTTCTCAGAAATTGAATGAGTGATCTTTAATTAATCACTCCCAGACAGTTTGCATGTGTGTATCAATGTTCCAAGAACAGGGCATTCAAAAACCATCTGCAGGAAGCACAGAACTCCTGCATCTGGTGGCTGACAGCATCTAGTGCCCTGTCTTTAAGAATATCCTTCCCTCTAAAAAAAAACAAAAACCAACAAAATAACCCAAACCAGCAAAGACTTCAGCAGGCAATTACTATGATTTCAAAGTTGACCTTGTTTGTTTAAAGTGAAGCAGAATTTGAGGAATAGCTGTCTCGGTTCATCAGTTAGCCTGACAACCTGTAATTATCAATATCTGTCTTGGTGAATCAGTTAGCCTGACAACCTGTAATTATGTACAAATATTGCTTGGATAAAAGGATTGTTTCAATGGTGTTCACTCTGAAACCTAACAACACTCTTAGGCAGGGAACAGTCAGACAGCCCAGCGATGAGGCGACAGGGGGTGTTTTTGGTGAAGTCTCTCTGTTGGCTGGTTTTGGGGAGATGGGCTGTACAACTCGCAGGGCTGCATCTCCTCCGTCAGCGCTCCTGTGGCCAAAACCCACCCTGAAACCAGCCACGCTGTGGCTTCTCAGGCATGGGG